TGGAGGCCATCGCTATTAGGTTGGAGGCCATTGCTCTTAGGGTGGAGCCAGGTCATTCGCTCAAACTGGCTAGAGTTACGGGCAAGATCAACGTGGCTTATGACCTCAATTCCATGTAATCTTACATGTACAAATGATGGTCTTTTTGAATTTGGGGGTGTCAGGCTAGGGCCTGAGTGCAGCCAATTGTCTCCTCTTATTGCATACACACCGTTGGCGCTGCCATTGCTTCGACGTGGGAAGCCACTCACGACCAAGTCGCCTTGGCTAACTCTCTCGAGTTGTTTGGGGAAGACGGAAAAATGAAAGAAACGTCTTCACTTCGGATCTAAATGGTTTAGGCTAATAAACGATTTCACATCGGAACAAGAGACTAAAGTCCTTTTGATCCTAGTAGCGTCCTTGCTCCTAGTAGTAAGGCCAGGAGCTACTAATAGCTGCAAACAAACCATAGAATTCGTCTAACTTGGACTGAATCACACAGAACGCATCGTATTTCAGGACCGACCCGTCGACTCCGTCCACCCCGGCCTTTGGTGAGTGGGACCTGGAACCAATGGACCAGTCCACTCCAGCAGGAATCTGCAGAGCGCTGCGGGGCGCCGAGGTCATGGAACTGTAATCTCTCACAGAGGTCTCGCCAAAGGCTCACTTTTGTATTCTACGTATATAAAATTACTGTTGTGAAACCTGCTATCGTTCGAGCATCCAAGCACCAGGTTGAACCTTCGCATGAACAACCGTGAATCGACGGTTGGCTCAAGGGACCAGGCATGTGGTGGAAATAGCGCGGCCGCTTTGACTTAGGTTGTTGGTAGGTAGATCCCATAGGTTGTTCCAGGTTGAGTAGGGCTACCTTTGTGTCCTCGAGGACGAGGCACATTGGTAGCGGAGCCCGAAAGGGCCCGCTGCTTCGATTTTGATCGTAGTAGTGGAAAGCCATGGCTACAGAAGGTGCTGGTTCCGGTGATGATCGACAATCTGGAATCTGGTCAGTGTTGCCATCGTTTGACCCTGCTGTTGACGACATAAAAGAGTATGTGGCAAAGGTCAAGTTCATCGATGGCATATGCCCAAAGAAGGATCGTACGATGCTGGCACCAAGGTTGGCAATGCTATGCAAGGGAACAGCATGGCATCAAGTTCGTGCAGTCAGCGCAAACCTGTTGACGGATGCTGACAATGGAGTGAAGCGCTTCCTGTCAGCCCTGAGTTCATGGGAAGAGAGCGCAGAGCTGAAAACGTTCGATTTGTTTGAGAAAGCAATCTACAAAACGTACCAAAAGGCGGACGAGAGCACCCAGAGTTTCGTGAACCGCCTGAATGTTGCATTCCATGATGTTGGATTGGACACCACCTTGAAGACAGTTCGAGCTTTCGTATTGCTGAAACAAAGCAATTTGAGCATGGAGGACAAGAAGAAGGCGTTGACAATTATAAGTGGCGTGATGGACATTGAAGCTGTCGAACAAGCTATGCGAAGCTTCTCAACAAATGTGCTCACAGGTACGACCGACAAGAAAAAGGTATATCCCACCAACTACGTCAATAGCGATGACGAGGAGCAAAACAATGAAGAGACCCAGTACGGCCAACCATCTTACCTGGCTCAATACGATGACGAAGAAGTGACCAACGAGTACATCGAGAACCTCGCAGCCTCAGGTGATGGTGCCCTGCCCGTCCAAGGATTCGAAAGAGATCTAACTGATCTATTCCAAGACTCCACACGGCCCTCACTGCCTATCAAGAAGCCCGTGGTCGAATTGCAGAACGTCGCAAAAGCCGAGGGTTCTGGACGGTGAAAGGTGGAAAAGGTCGTGGAGCTGGATGGTCTTTGAATGGACCATACAACAACAAAGGATCCAAGAAGGGATCGGGCAAGGGCAAGGAAGAATTGTTGCAACGCATCGCAAGGACGCATTGTAAACTATGCGGGGAACATGGACATTGGCGAGCAGAGTGCCCTCAGAGAGCAAAGGAATCTGCAAACATTGCCACGATCCACACCGCAATCGAGGAAGATGCTGGAGATCAGATCATCGTGGAAGACCTCAGTGAAGAGGAGAAACACAGTAATGACCAAACAGTTTTGAAAAACCATGCAGGATTACATCATGAAAGGGTATTTTGCCACGAAGCTTTCGTTGTAGGAACCTGTATGAAAGCCAGAAATTTCGAGCCTATTAGGAACCAGTTCATGCTGAGTAGGGTAAAAGCATTCTTTGCAGCCAAGTTGCCGAAGCCCTCAACACCTGTCAGGAAATTCGAATGCAGTTCGAAGCAAGCTGGTCATCCAAAGATCGTCCCAAGCTGCGCCAGTAAGACATGCGCATCCGGTTTCGAAAGTCATGGGATGGCTATCATAGACACCGGAGCTAGCAGAAGCGTGATTGGGGATGAAAATTTGCCCAAGCTTCTCGCCAGTCTGAACGCAGACACTCGATCGATGGTTCGAGAAAAGAGCAGTCGAGTCGGGTTCCGATTCGGAAACAATCAAATCGAGCATTCGTATAAGCAAATACAAATTCCAGTAAATGGAAGGGGTCAAAGAATATGGTTAGCAGTAGAGGTAGTGCCCAAAGCAACGCCATTTTTGCTATCAATATAGGTCATGAAACACCTTGGAGCAATTCAAACATGGCATTTTCAGACATTGCACCGATCGGTACCAGTCATTGAAGGTAGAACGGGCTTGCTTCTCATGCGTATGCAAGATTTGTGCACAGGCAAGCCACACAAAGCTTTTGTGACCTCAAGCCCGTGCGAATGCATTGAGATCCCCGCGTGTTCAGTGAAAACTGATCAGCAGGCCGACTCGAGGAGAAGTGATGCAAATGATTCGCGACACAGCGGAATCGGTGATGAGTTCACTGCGTGCTCTTTTGACACTGCTCATGAATCAAGTCGCCACCCAAGTGTCCGATCAAGAAGTCCAAGCCGAACATGCCCTACAGATGCATCAACTGATGGTGGAAGTCAACAACCAGAGAATGAAGATCGAGGAGATATCTCGATCCCTTCGTCATGGAATGACACCGAAGGGCCCAGAGAGCGATACCTCATCTTTCCACCCGGTCTCAGTCGAACAGGAGGAACTGGAAACATGGGAGCAAGAAGTTCAGGTGATTCCAACCGAGCTGAAGACACCACCGCGGAAACAAGTACATCATGTGCAGGAAAATCCAAAGATGGTGATTCCAGGAATCCAGACCTACGTCAAGACCATGCACGGAGTCACTGGAAGCCATGCGTCTTGTTCGAATCCAGGAGTTTCAGAGCCCACCCTTCAACAGGGAAGCCGTGTACTGGCAAGTCCAACCACTCCGCAGATCATGAAGATGGGAAGCCCTGTTAAGGACCAGTACTGGACCTCGCTTGGACACAAAGTGCTCTGCAGCAATGGGGAAACAAGAAAGTCACCTGGGGAAAGAAGCATCCAAACAAGATCTACCAGGCTGTCTACGAGATGGATCCCCAGTATGTGCAATGGTGCGTGCCTGAGCCGGATCAATTCTCTCGATCAGCCGATCCTAGATTTTGCACGATACTGCCAGGCCCGTCAGCAAATGGAGAATCAAATCTCCGGAAACCACTGATGTGGGAACAATTTGCATGCGAGCAATACATGTCAGTGTCCAATAGCCTAGAAGCTAAGTGGATTCAAAGTCTAAAGAATCAATCATCAAACGTCAGTAGCACCAAACAGATTGATCTCTTAGAAGTCTATGCGCAGCCCAATAGTCGACTAGCTGAAGAGGTCCAAAAGAAGGGAGGTAGGGTCATGAGATTCACAAAAGAACATGGCGATTTGCATGAGCACATATGAAGGACAAGTGGCACTGATTCGTATGATTGCAGCATACAAGCCGAAGCATGTGTGGATGGCTCCCGAATGTCATCCATGGTGTGCCTGGACTCGGTTCAATGCTGGTCGAAGTCTAGCGAATTACCAAAAGATTCAACAATCTAGGGAGTTGTCCAAAGTCCATATGCAGCTGTGTACATTCGTCTGCAAAATCCAAGTTGACGGCGGGAGGCATTTTACGCTCGAGAATCCGGGAGAATCTGACTTGTGGCATCAATCAGAAATAAAACCAATAATTGATGTAACCATGAGAGTCAGCCTCGACCAATGCAGATTCGGTCTAGTCCATCCAGAAGATCAGAGACCTCTAAAGAAGTACACTAGACTGCAAACCACATCTAGAGCAATCGTAAATGATCTAGATGGTCGAATGTGCAAGAAGGATCATGAGCACTGTCCCATAGCCGGAAACTGTAAAGTAGGTAGAGAAAGAATGGCTTTATCACAAGGTATGCAGCCTTTTACCCAAGAATCCTAGCTAGAGCCGCAGCTCAAAGCATTCTTCGTGAACGCCATAAGTCAGAGTTTCCAATTTATCCTGCCGACGAGTTGTCCGAGCCAGCAGCCAAGCGAGCTCGAACTCGTGAGCCAAAGAGTGAGACTGAGGGAAAACGTCCCAGAGAAGAAAACAAACATGAACCCGAAGAGATAGCCGATGAATATTGGGACACAGTATTCGAATGGTGCCAAGATAATTTGCCAAAGTCAGGAATGTCGGAAATTCCAGTTGAATCCATGATAGGGCAATTGATTTGTGCATCAACAAACATTCGATGTGTGAAACAAATCAGAGCAGCAGCAAAAGGTCTCGAAAGATACATGTTAGGAAATACCGAAAACGAAGTCCGACACACATTTTGTCAATGCCGAAAGACCAAGAAATATTTTGACTTGGGGGAAGAACAGTGGACAAAACAAACACTGAGGAATCAAAAGAGACATGCAATTCCGAGTCACATCATGATTTGTGTGTTTGGCACCAATTCGGAGTTCCCACCAAAGTCAACAGAAACGAGTTCTCGAAGTGGACAAGAGCCTCAGCCTTCCAGAGATATGAAAGTACAGATTGCACCGAAGCCTGAGTCAAATCAAACTCGAGAAGAGGAGAATGAACAGAAAGCACCAAGTGTGACTGTTCCTGCGTGGAGACCACAGTCAGTTGCGCAGTCAGGTCCTAAGTTCCTTGAACTAGATTCAGAAAAGCCGAGCCAGATTCGTAAAGTACACAATAATTTAGGACATCCGACAGCCGAACGTCTGTCTGCACACCTGAAACTTGCAGGAGCGAGAGCCGATATAATAGAAGGTGCAAAGGACTACGCTTGCCAATCATGTTCAGAGAGAACACCACCAAAACTGACTACACCCGGAAAACCCAAAGAACCAAGAGATTTCAATGAAAGGGTGTCAATGGATGGGTTTGAATGGAAAAACAAACAGGGAACAAGATTCTATGTGCTACACTTCTTCGATGAATCAACACATTTTCATTTGGGAAAAAGAGCCCACCGAAGTGCAGAAGGTACAGAAAAATGCATGTTCGACACATGGTTACAATGGGCAGGTCCACCAAATGAGCTATGTTTTGACGAAGCCGGAGAACTCATGAGCCAAAAATGGAAAGACATCATCCAAAAGGAAGGAATTACTCCAATCACTAGTGCAGCACCCTGGCAAAGAGGCCGAATCGAAAGACATGGAGCGGTAATCAAAGAAATGCTAAGTCGAATAGAAAATGAGCATGGAATAGTGACAGAGAAAGAATTCGACCATGCCTTGTATCAATGTTTTCAAGCCAAGAACTCCATGATGGTAAGCAACGGATATAGTCCAGAACAAGCCCTTCTAGGTAAGTCACGCAAGCTGCCTGCCTCCATATGCAGTGATGAGGGAATGACTGCTCATTCGATCGACAACAACGAGGACACGAGATCGGGACAAGAACATGACTGGCAACTGGGAGAGCTAGCTATGATATGGGATAAACGAAAATCCCCCAACATGCTCGAGAAAGGAAGATGGGTAGGTCCATGTCAAATAATAGTAAAGCATGAAGGCCGGACTATCATTTGGGCAACGCACATGAACAAATTGTACAGAGTAGCTAGAGAAAATCTCCGTCCAGTATCCATGAGGGAATTCCAGAGCAAGCAGAACTTCGTACAAATATGTGAGAAAGAAAAACTTGAAGCAATGGCAAAACAACTAGAGCAACAATTGCATGAACGCAGTGGCATGTTCCAGTTCCAAGATTTGGCCGAAGGAAACGCTAGTCCAATTCCTGTCCAGAATGAACAGGGAGAGCAGCCAGAAGAGGAACCTCATAGAAGAGATTCCAACGCAGGTGACAGCATCCATGAGCCAGGATCCGAGAACGTGGAAACACCACCGAATGAAAATGCAGTGGATCCATCATCCATCAACCCACCTGTAGAGACAACAGAAAGCCACTCAACGCCTGAAGGGGAAGGGGTAAGCATTATAGGGGATCAACAAGAATCTGCCCAAGGTTCAAATGTTGTGTATAATGCACTTTTTGTAGAAAATGAGAATTCGGAATGTAGTGCAGTGGAAGACGATGGGACTCTGTGGAGTAAGTGTCTTGAAGAGAACATTGCGCAATCCAATTTTTGCATGTTTGAGTTTACAGCACCAGTTCAACAAGTGGAGCGATTTTGCCAAAATCCATGTCTGTTTGCCAAGCAATTGACTAAATCGGCAAAGAAAACTCATACTGAAGTTCGATATTCCCAATTGACAGAAGAAGAAAAGAAACAATTTGATGAAGCCAAGCTGAAGGAAATGAAGTGCTGGCTTGAAACTGACGCTGTCAAGCCTTTGTTGAAGTGCCGAATTCACTCATCAAAGATCATGTCATCAAGATGGATCTTGACATGGAAGGTGGATCCAACAGTTCCCGGAGGCCGAAAACCGAAGGCTCGGATAGTTGTGAGAGGGTTTGAAGACCCTGACTTAGCTAGCTTCTCGACTGAATCACCCACATTGTCGAGAGATGGTAGGATGGTAATATTACAAACAGTGAGTTCAATGCATTGGCAACTGCAATCATTCGATATCAAAACGGCATTTTTGCGTGGCCGATCCGACCATCGACAGCTAGCAATGGAACCTGTCAATCGAGAGTTGCTTCACATGAAAGACAACGAAACTTGCTTGTTGCAAGGAAATGCCTATGGTAGGGTAGATGCTCCAATTATATTCTACAAAGAACTGAGAAAGAAACTAGAGGAAGTTGGATTTGAGGCACACCCACTCGATAGTTGCATGTTTTTTGCTTCGCAATCCCACCAATCCAAAGATATTGGAAGGAATCCTAGGCACACATGTAGATGACGGAATCGGTGGGGGGACTTATTTGTTCGAGGAAGCTTTGAAGAAAATACAAGAGAAACTGCCATTCGGTTGGATATTGAACAATACCTGGACTCAAGCATTCGAATAAACCAAGCAGACTATATCAGCAAAATAGATCCCATTGACGTGTCAAAAGCTTGAAGAAAAGATGAAGAAGCAAATGTTGATGAAAACGAACTTCAACAACTCAGAGGTCTACGTGGTAGTTTGCAATATGCTGCAGTGCATTCACGACCAGATTTGGCAGCAAAAGTAGCTTTCTTGCAGAAGCGTATAAGCCAAGCTCGGGTACGAGATCTTTTGGAGGGAAACAGAGTTTTGAGGGAAGCCAAAGAATATTCTGAAACGAGCGTGTTCGTGAAACCAATCCCCACAAAAAGAGTTAACCTTTGCAAGCTTTGGAGATGCTAGCTTTGCTTCAGAGCAACAATTGCGAGCTCAGCAAGGGGTGTTCATCGTAGCATGCACCGATCAGCTCCGACAGAATCAAACCTCCGAGATAAGTCCTATAGCTTGGAATTCGAAACAAATAGGAAGAGTGGTTCTGTCCACTTTAAGTGCAGAAGCATATGCATGTCATCCTCACTGGACAAATTGACATGGGTTCGATGCATGTGGGGAATAGTCATGGATCCAACCTTTCAATGGCAAAAGCCTGAGAAGGCATTGCAAAGCCTACCAAAGGCTCTACTAGTCACAAATTGCAAAGCCCTGTGCGATTTGATGACAAAATTGGCAGTACCAAACTGCCAAGAATGGCGTACAACCATAGAAGTTATGATGCTCAGAGAACAATCTGGTGAACACTCCATATGTAGATGGATTAGTACAGCAACAATGCTTGCAGATGCTTTAACCAAGCCTATGGATGCATCCTTCCTCAGACAAGTTTTGTGGGTCAGCCGCTTCCGCATATTCGATGAAGAGAAGGCTTTGAAGGAAAATCCCAACAAAAGGTTCAGCACTCGATGGCTTGCAGCAGAGGGTTCATGTGAAAAAGAAAATACAATGAATGTGAAACCTGCTATCGTTCGAGCATCCAAGCACCAGGTTGAACCTTCGCATGAACAACCGTGAATCGACGGTTGGCTCAAGGGACCAGGCATGTGGTGGAAATAGCGCGGCCGCTTTGACTTAGGTTGTTGGTAGGTAGATCCCATAGGTTGTTCCAGGTTGAGTAGGGCTACCTTTGTGTCCTCGAGGACGAGGCACATACTGTATAGTATATATATAATTACTGTATCAGGACCACAATACGACACATATTGCTTGAATGGATACCTCACTGACTCAAAGCTTCAGCAACCTACTGACAGTTTCCAGAATAGAAAAGCACACACCAAAGCACCACCACCACCAACAGCCCCCCTCAAAAGATCATCCAAATCAGCAAATAGCATATATATAATCATATATTGGCATATATCAGTTCTGCCCATCTGCTTCCAACCCTTCCAACCCTGCATTAATTCCGTTTCACCAATGCCAACTCTTGGGACACACTACACACACACACACACACTTGAGCATCCTGGATCAGAAAGCCACCCACAGCGCATCCATGCAACCCTTGCCTTCGCAAGTCCTGGTCACCCAAGATGACGCAGTACCCATGGGTGGTCCCGGGCTTTGTGTGAATTACTGCGAACTGTTGGGGAACTAGTTTGCATCCAAAAAAGAGGACGAGTTGGTGCCATTATCATGCTCCAAGGTTTTGAAGCTGGGCATCTCAGGCTCAAGAAGATTCAATGTAAGTAAGGGATTTGCTGGACATCTATCGCAACCATGTCTGTCTAACTGGAGTCGAAGTCCATCCTCTTTCTGACTGTGACTTGATTCCTAAGCTCTCCTGGGAGCAGCTTTTGTCAACTAATTGGGTGTTTTGCTGCCCACACACTCTTGTTAGATAGCATGACATGCCACAGTAAATGTTTTGATGGAAGCAAATCCGTTTAATGAATATTGCTGGGTGTTAGCTCCTCCTAAGATCAGTGATATGTGATCATTTGGCGTGAGAAGCCATCCAACTTCCGAATCCATGAGTGCACTTAGACACTGAGACTATGATGACTATGGTTGGGTTTTGAGCCAAAGGAAAGCTGGCCAATACTCCATTCCACAGTCTGATCCAATCACAGCATAGGCTTTCTCAAACCTGGCTTTCTAAGACAAAAGGGTAAAAACCGCCACTGTCGTGGAGAGCCTGCACAAGGCCAAAGGCACACATGAATCAACAACTATTGGTCAAGTTGTGTGATGAACCTCGCAATGATAGGACAAGGGCGCAAGCGGCGCAAGCCCAAACACCTGAATGTCAATCTCGCCGGTCGGCTTCCAGGAACCTCCACAGGCTCAACAGGACGGGTCAAAATGCTCGACTTATTGTACAGGCCATATCGAGTCCAAACTAAGTGAAGTCCCATGCCAAAGTGGCAATTCAATATACGTAGGATATGTTGCTAGACTTTGGGAACTAACTATATAAATGTATATAATTAGGCTGATCGATCTTGAAAGCAAACAATTGGAAATAATATAGAAAGAAAGCACATGAAGGTAGCACTCTGGTTTACACAAAGTGTTGGCTGATATGCAAATTCTGACCACAAAGGATGCCCTGATGATTGGACACAACTCAAACAAAACAATATTTCATGTCAAATGTCAATTTAATTTATCTTTTTAGCACATCATGGCATCTGATGCTTGAAACTTTAACACTTTTTGTCGAATGCTCGCGTTCTTTCTTAACCTTGTACTTGCATGTCTTGATACAGAGTTGCTGCTTGCTCCTCAGTGGCAGCTGCATGCCAAGGACGATTTCAAGGCGCACAGTACTTCCTGGATGTTTGCCAATGTGCCAAGTGGCCATCTGGCTGCAAGCAGTTCCCGATGCACTTGCCCTGTCAAACTCATTGGCACGAGCACGTTTCATAGGGATCAGGAAGAGAACTGCTAAAGCAACTCCAAACTACAAGTGCTGAGGGTTTGGTCATGCGGGGCTGCAGAAAGTCACCCGGCCGCATGGGCATGCTACAGTAGTAGAAAGTCACCCGACTCGTGGAAAGTCACCCGGACAAGACTGAAACGCCATGGCTTCACTATGTACCACATCCTCCCGCCCGAAACTCGAAACTGCATATATTGTTGCCTACGCTGGGACGAAACAACCATCTTGATGTTGATTTCTTGTGGTTCGGGTGTTGAATCACCATGGCCACGCTTACTCCAGGTAGTGTGTTGAAGTCATTCGTCCTTCGGACACTTACAGTAAATATGAGTTGAACATGAGTCACACACATAGAATTTAGGAAGAATTTTAAGTTAAACACTCATGTTTTAAAGCCTATTACATGAACAAAGGCTTTGCCAGTACGGCAAACCCCAAACAGAAATATGGTTTTATCTACATGTCGCAGGTACAAAGTTCAAAAAGTATATCGAAACACAAATCCTGCAAGGCCACGCGTCTTCCAGACGACTTACTACAAGACCAAACGACTTAACCCCAGTACCTGGTATATGATATGACATGTTGAACGACTTCCCTGTCTGTGTCCTATAGTTTGTCCAGCAGGCATTGAAAACTGCTGTATCTGTATAGTCTATATTCTGATATATGCAGGAAAAAACGCATTGCGGCCCTGATTCAAACCAAAGACGATTACAATAAGGGAGCATTAAACATCTAACCTATGGTCTAAACTTCTTCGAGCTGACTTCCATTCCTTGGGCTCTGCGCAATATCTATGAACGTATCTACTGTGTCTGTCTTGTATCTGTCTTGCCTCCGCCCTTCGCTGTACCAGGCTTCGCCTGAGGCTTTGCCTAGCGGTACGCCATTTGTTAAGTCACATGTAGTGACTACATGTCACAAGGCTTGCAGGTCCTCGTGGATCAGCCCATCTCTAAAATCCGAAACATCCACCAATAACTCTTGAAATCTCTCCAGCAACAATGCTGAAGGCGTGACTGGGTTGAGGTTTGTGGCCGTGGCCTAGAAATATCTGCTCAGTGTAGCCACTTAGCCACAGTGTCATACTTTCAAGCCTCAAGGCTTTCGCAGGTTTTCGTTGTCAGGAACAAGGGCATGTGGTGCCCTCACCAGTTTCTACTTGAATCTTGAATCGTGTGTCACACTGGAGCGGATGAGACAGCAATCAGCTCATCCAGCTAGTGCCTGCCCGGAGGCGAGAAGCTGGGGTTGCCTGCGAATTCAGGAGATGTAGCAAACAATTCTCGACCCGCGGAGCCGCGATTCTCATACAAGTCAAACTAACAAATGGATCTGGGGATCCTAATATTGGTTCATGGATGAAACCTGGATTATGGGTATTGGATAGAGGATGATGGAGATAGTCATCAGTCAGACAAAAATGTTGATTGAAGTGGGTGCTAGTGCCGCAATCAAACAAATCATGTTGACATTTAGCTTCTCCTTGACATCTGATCAGTGTCGACCGAGGGTCGGTCATTCCACCTAATGTGAATGCCCAAATGAGGGCAACTGCCAAGAGCGGCGGCAAGAGGCGTGCCTGTCACATCCAAGTCCATCACAAATGCCACTTGTTAGGGATTCATTGCTCACAATGAAGGCTGACAGTGCTACCAGCTACCGGCTACAGGAGGGTACTTTGGAATTCCAATATGGAAGTAGTAGGACAAAACCACAGTCAGTGTCATGTTTTTGCCGTCTCTTATCCCTCCTGTATATATATATATATAGATACATAGCTAGATCTTGCCTAGACAATCTAGTTTGCGGCAGCTGTTGCCAACCAACTGACGATGACACCTATCAAAGATAGAAAAGTGTGGATTGAGTACATCACACAAACACAGTAACACAGTATCCAACATAACACATCAAACAAAAAATAACAAGCACACTGTCTTAACCGACAATGGCACAAACTATAAACCAATACACGACAATTACCATCAATTACCTTCAACTTAACGTGAGACGTTTCAGTATCATCCGACTACTGTACGTATATCGATTTATGACCATAATATATTGTGGTTTCGTTGAGCTTGGTCGTCATCCATGGAAGCCCAAAAGGGGCACACTTCGTTAACGACCTTCCACCGGATGGTGGCTCAAGCCTGAGGTGACGAAACCGACGGTTCGCTGCCATGGTAGCACTTGCTTAGGCCCCTACCACCCTGTGCGGAGCCGGTTCAACTGGCCTTTGGGTTTGTAGTCGTTGGTTGACTGACCTTGCTAGTGCTGGCTTCCTTCGGGGTAGTATGTCTACTGCAGCTGAAGTTGATGGATCACCTCCTCCTCCTCAACCTTCCCCGGATGGCCGGCGTCCCGGCCCTAGCTCCAGAGAGGGAGATGGTGAGTCTTCACATGAGGATGCTTGGCGGCGTCCTGCGGGGAATGACTCTTTGTTGAGGCCAGAGCAAGAGAGAATGGAGGCAACCCTTTTTCGTCGCCCCCACCTCAGGAACACTACAGCCGAAGCCTTTTTCGATTCTGATTGCAGCAGTCGCTTCAGAGAGCTATTTATGCAGGACCTCGACCGTGGCGACATTATACGAGCCTGGACAGGTGGTGTACTTTTTCATACTTTTTCCGTAGAGGAGCTGACACCCATGAAGAAACCACTGGAATTCTATTGGAGAGGACTGAGAGGACCAGCTCGAGTTCTTTTGGTTGATATGCCTAACACAATTTGGCTGTCGTTCCGGAACAACATTGTTAAAGCATCGCCAGAGCGCATTTGGCCAGCTAGTGAAGAAGAGACTCAGACATTGCGCCAATGGCTTGGAGGTTTGACCAATCTCCGAGAACAACTTCGGCAGCCACAAAACAAGGGGATCATAGACTTACAGTCCGAACCACCACCGACCCAGCTGAACTTGGTGAAGACCAGGAGATTGAAATTCCATCAGCAATCGAACCGCCGGAAGCGGAACTCCGTTCTCCACCAGAATTGCCTTTTCCTCCAGGAACCAGCTAGGCGAGTGAAACAAAAGACTTCGGACTATGTTCCCCATGAACCCGTTCAACCAGACCCAGAGCCAACTCCGAACTCCGATCGGGTCGGAATCGGTTCCGGCAGTGCCAATTGGTGAGCCGATGGAGATTTCGGATGAGCATGAAGAAGTGAGACATGACAAACGACCGGCGGATGATTTTGTTTCTGATGACCTAGAGGATTCACAACCTCCGGACAAGAGACAACGGACTGAGTTTTTCGAACTGTTTCATCTTGCTGTTTCTGGCCTTATGAAGAAAACAAAGGAATTTGTTGCCAAGGATTTCAAGGGTGCCGATTTTCCTCGTCTACAGAAGTCCATTTTAAAGGAAAGAACTTAGCATCAGGAGCCTACCGACTTTTGGATGTGGAAACTTCACAGAACATTGAAGCGGAAAAAACCGACAAGATTATGGGCAGCCACTATGTTTTCTCTAAGAAGCCTCTTGAAGAGTGACATTCCTCAAGCTCGGGTGGAGGACATCCTGTTGGACGACAAAGAACATGGTCTAGTCACTCTAGTCAAAGCAAAATGCGCAGATTCCCGGCAGCTGATCGAACTCTTGAAGCATTGCTATGGGCTCACCGACGGGCCCCACAAGTGGTTTGAACATCTGTGTCGATATTTGAAGATATTGGGGTACCAACAATCAAAGCTGGACCCGTGTGTGTTTTATCTGTTTGAAGCTGATACTTCAACGTCGACAGCCGGTTCAAAACCATCTTCGGGAAAGCTTTGCGGTATTTTGGGCATTGCTACAGATGATGTTTTTCATGGGGGAATGGACAAGCACTGGGACAACACCAACAAGATTGCAACTACATACAAGTTGGGAAAGAACCAGACCACTTCAGGCCGCTTCACGGGAAAGGAGATTCAAGCTAGACCTGACGGAACCATTTCCATCACTCAAACACATTATGTGGATGACAAGGTGAAGTGCACCCCCATTGAAACGGAAAATGCAGCGCTTTCGATCATTGCGCGACTCAGGAGATTGCTCAACTTCGTGAGCTCTTGGGTGTCTTGGCCTGGTTGAGTAAGGAGACCCGAGGTGACCTAGCTGGAAGAGTCTCATTGTTGCAACAATCGTTTCCAACACCAAGAGTGAAAGATCTTGAACAAGCAAAAAAGCTAGCGCGAGAGGGAATCGCTCACAAAAAGTTGGGAATTTTGGTTCAACCTATTCCACTCCACTCTTTGAGAATTGGAGTGGTGACGGACGCCTCCTGGGGCAATGCCAGGGAGTTCAGTTTGGGGCTCGAGTATTCGCTCAAGGAAGATTTTTGGAACAAGTGTGAAGATACTTGGGCGAGGCACCACAAAGCTCCGAGGAAAACATATGTTCACACTGATTTTTGCACTGATGGTCCTAGCCCACATGTTCTTCAAGCCTCGCGCCGTACCGAGAGACTGACATCGCACGGCTGCTTCACAGAAACTGACTCTTGGAACGATCCTCAAAGTCTCCGTGAGGCCCGTGAATCTTGGACTGGAAAAACTGTTTTTCAGAAAGCTTTGCGCAAGAAAGACATAACCCCCAGTTCTTTGATTCGACCTCTAGTCGAGCAACGGGAATATTTGAATAGTCAGGGAGGTCAGTTTGTAGTGTACTATGATGAGCGCCTCACATCGTCACAGCGACCAACCCCGGTGACTTTGGCGGCATGGCGCAGCTACCGCTTGAAGAGGAAGGTAATCAGTACACTAGGTGCCGAGGGCCAAGCTCTTGTGAGTGGGGTAGGTGCCATTAACTGGCATAGGCTGCTCCTTTTGGAAGTTTTGAGTGGGACTTTGACCGATTCTTCTTGGGAGGAACACCTGAAGGCCCTCCCTTTTGTAACTGTCACAGAAAGCAAATCTTTATACGATGCCTTAAAGAAGGACGCGTGCACATCAGCACAGTTCAGCGACAAACGAGTCGCTATCGATGTTGCCGTCCTTCGGGATGAATTTCGATCCCAAGGAGGGATTATGCGATGGATCGATGCTTGAGCCATGCTTTCTGACAGTCTTACGAAGGATTGTGTCCCGACATACCTCCGTCACATTATACGGGGCTCTGGTCAATTTTGGAAGAAGGAGTGGCGTTGCAGCGCAAGCTGATTGAACGTTCCAGAGATGACGACCAAAAAGAAAGTTGGTTGTGTGTGATTTCGTTGAGCTTGGTCGTCATCCATGGAAGCCCAAAAGGGGCACACTTCGTTAACGACCTTCCACCGGATGGTGGCTCAAGCCTGAGGTGACGAAACCGACCGTTCGCTGCCATGGTAGCACTTGCTTAGGCCCCTACCACCCTGTGATCTCTCACAATATATCATATTATATATATATGCGTCAATTCCTGAGCAGAACAAGGCATGATAAAAGCATGAAGCTTTCCTGCAACATTTCTGCTGTGAAACCAAACCTCCCGGATTGCCACAGAAGGACATTGAATCCATTTGATCACAACCATCATTCCGACCTGTGTTCCGCATCGGGGGGTTAAATATATCTACGACTGGATACTGTCGTCAGATCCGAAACCAGCCCTGAACCACTTATTCATATGTCCCTCGAAACGCCTGATTGGCCATCTCTACCTGGCAGAGAGTGGTTGCAAATGACCCACAAGCTTGGGCGAAAGCACATGAGCTTGCAATCACATGATGTTTAGAAGCTCACAGAACGTAGTGCAAATATCTCATGTGAGAATGCCGACCGCTGTCCTGCAATATCGGTTGGTGCTGGTCACAAAATCGCCAAGCCCAAAGCTGTGAGAAGAACAGCGGGGCTGTTAAGTCAAGTTGGAGTCTTGAAGTCCAGTGCCATGTGTGAACAAATGAGACCATTTCAGTCTTTGGTTGGCACCGTTCCAAAACTAAGGTCATGGCGTGGTTAGTGACCGGTTGCTGTCTGTCACGAAACCACACGTTTAGAGCGCCTTTTAAAGTAGTGTTTGGAATGGAGAGGCTGAAAACACTGTATTTTGCTGCGCATAAAACGTGCACCTTGTCAGTCGAAATATCTTTTAACAGACTCCGTTATTGTGGGTGCCTTGGAGTCACTATACATGGTGACATAGTAAATTCACAACTCCATATAGCTAGAGTTATTGTATCAAGTGGAGCAAACAAACAGATATCTGATAGCAGCTTATGGCTTAGATGCACATCCAATCGAACGACATTAGCACCCGCAACCCCCCAAAAAGAACCTACCCCGCGAACCCATATTCCAACGTGCTCGCGCGTGTAGCATCAAAAGCGGCGGGCATCGACTTGGCAACCTTAACGCTCTCCCCAGTGGCCCTGCGGGTACTACGAAATGCGGTATATAAATACATACTACACACATTAAAAAAAGAAAACCAACAACGCTATAGAAACGTACTAAAAGCTCACGGTCGCTAATCGCGCCGTGAGCAAAAGCAACACTGATGATTGCCGCCTAATAGCGAGACCAATGAGACGTGACCCTCAAAACCCTTTTACAATCCTACTCCTGCTTGAAGACAAGGTGCCCGATCACCAAAACAACGTACTCCTTCCAATCCAACAAACCGCATAGCGAATAGATGTCTGGGACTCGACAGCAAAACCATGCAACACCTGGCTCAAGGCTAAGCCATGCTTTCTAAACTTCGGGTATATAAAGGCAAATGTCGAGGCTTGACATGGTTCAGGTGTTGGGAGGTTGAAGTATTCCTCGATGAGGATTTGTCAAGCAACAAATATTAATATCACTTCCACTTGTTCATAGCGAGACATCTTTGTGGGTTGGAAAGCGTGTTGTTAAGAAATGTCGACAAGGAGCATTCCATTTGTCAAATTCTGTTGCACGAGACACAACTCTTTTCCAAAGGCCCAATGTCAGATTGGCTTTGATAGAGCCAGTGGAGCACCTTCAGGCTTGGGCTTAAGAAGCGGCTTGAGCTTAATTGCATCGAGACACTCATCAAAACAATTGTAGCACTTAGTGCCATAAAAACCCGTGGAAAAGAAGGGCACTCCTTTCACCACTTGGTCAAAATGTGTAGCTTGGCCCTCTGGTATTCAGTATAGCATAGTATTGCTGTAGCTCTCGAATGATTTGAAAGCTTTCCCTCCAACCTATGGACAGCAATACACAGCAATCCACCAGGAGTGCCCTGTGTTGACAGGCGGATGTACAACCCGATCGTCACATGGGCTTCTGCGGCATACGCTTCACCTACATGCAACCATTGCTGAGACGCGGGTGCCCAAACTCTGCACGGGGAACTCTGCAAGGGGATACCAGCCTTTCCAACAAACACATTCGTGCAATGATCAAGCTCGTTTGCCTAATGCAAAAGTAGCAGAAGTCGTTGATGTTGAACCATGCCCAAACAAAAGGTGTTCAGCAAGCTTGCCCGCTTGTGAAAATCCAGAAGCAAACTCTCCAGTCCCAAACCCTCGCATTTGGGTAGTACTTGCAAGATCTATGAACGCACTTCTCCTTGAACAAGGTTTCTCAAACGTGCGTGTGAAATTGGAAAGCGTTTGGTAGGTAAGGCACCTAAATGCCATGTTAGCAGGGCTTTCCAGCTGTCTAAAAAGGTGTTGTTGTGATGCAAATTGCCCAAGCACGGCCCCCAGAATGTAACCCGCAACATGTTGGAATTCGCAACCTTTTAAGGCAAGTAGCAGCACAAGCAAAAATGCATCTGAACATGTCACGCACGAACGTGTTTCCGGAATCTTTGCGAGTCGACTTCACTGGCCACATGCTGCATCTAGCCACTCGGCAAGCCTTCACTTATACACATTCCCACTCCATGCAGCTCAGAGACGATGGCAGGTGGAGCCGGCGGCGGGGGACCTACCAAGGGCAGCTCAGAGAAGAACGTGATCTGAAATTGTTTGCTATTGCACGTTGTCCAAATAATTCCGAATAAATGCATATATATATATACATAGGGTTCAAGAAAGACTTCGTAGTAGGGAAGACAACATCGGCTAAAATGCTTGAGCGCCATGTTTGCAAAGGGCAGCTCTTGCTTGACGTGTACCATGTGGATGTCTCATCTGGAGTTTAGCAGCTCCTTGCATGAAGCTTTCACAGCCTCCTATGCCAAAGCTGAGCCACGAAATTCCAGTATTATGTGGTGCTTCAATGCATGCTCTTACAATTCATCCCAGATTCAATGCTGCCAAGCAAACTTGATGACCGAACAAGCCATTTCGGATCCTTCATGCGGATTCATGCGTGGATGAACTTCCTAATCAATCCCTTCTTTGATCGCCTTGTGCTAGATTCCACACGCAGGCGGTGCAATCCTGGCCACGAGGAAACAGTTGATCAAAAGTGTTTTGAAGTTGTTGGGGTAGGTAGGCCGCTAGTAGAGGCTGGTAGCTAACAAGTAAAAAAAAACTACTAAGTGGCACGAATGCAGAAAAGACAGCTCAGGTTTCAATGGAGAGCCCTGCAATACTGATTGATTAGGTTCCTAGACTTTTTGGGACGTTTCAACCTTGCACTTGAAAATGGCCATAAATAAATACTGACTGTGGTAACGGCAGTCAGTGGCAGCTCTCGGCAACTTTTCCATACGCCATGGAACGAGTAGGTGCGTGCGCACGTTCGGGCCCCTTAGGGTAGTTGGACCGAGAACGCGGTCGGTGAGCTGGAGTCAAGGTGTGCTCATGCTAGACATGCCGTTCTTACAGCTCCCCAAACTCTTGTTGACTCCAGCTCGGATCTGTGCGTTGCTAATGCCGAGTGAACGGTCTTCCTTCCTCTTTTTGAGGTGTTCTTCTTCAGCAGCAATGCAAAAACAGCCCGACCTCAGAAAAGAAAACAAAGGATCAGTCGATCCTTTCACCTTGGTGAGACAATCAGCGACCATGGCTGGATGATCAATCCACCTGATCTCTCCATTCAAAGCAGCCAGCTCTTGTCGTATGATCTGGATCTCTATTGCGGTGCGCTTGTCTTGTCCCCCTATGGTCTGCTTGCTCAAATAGTCGAACAAGCTCTTGGCATCCACGATTGCCAAGCATCTCTGGAGCTCACCATTCTCGCACGTGGCCATAGCCACCACTTCCTCCTTGGCCAGGCTTGACGGCCAGTCGTACATGTTGAACTTTTCCTCCTCCAGTTCCTTGAAAAGGACCTTCATCCAGAGAAGGTCTCCCATGCCCTTGGAGAGACTTTGCGTCTCGGCTGCGAGGGTCGAATTGACCACTCGCTGCAGCTTGGCACTTCTCCACCAGAGGAGATTGGCTTTCACTTTTCTTCCTTCCTGGAGCCCTTCTTCATGGGCTACTATCATTTGTCGCCCTTGGGAATGGAAACCATCATTTCCAAATGAGGCATCCGTGATCACAGCTAGCCTCATCTTCGTCAGCGGCTGCACCTTCAAGCAAAGGTTAGAGCTGTTCTTCAGCTGTTTGATCACTTCATTCAGGCAGCAAAGATCTTCTACTTTCATCGTGGTAAGCCTTGACGACATCAGGCTTGATGGTCCTGCTGCATCTGGTCGGCCTTCTTTTGAGAGCCAATTGAGGGAGCCGCAAACGGCTCGAGCCTGAGTTCGCTCCCTTTCATTGACTTCTTCTTTCTTCTCTTTCTTTCTCTCCTTGTCGATGGGAATCTCTTCGAGGCGTTCTTCTATGAATTTCTGCATGTCTATGTGCAGAGTGCCCTCTTCATCTTGCCTCAGCCTTCTTCCATTGAAGCTTGCCCCTTCCTTCTCTTCCTTCAAGTTCACGCACTTTCCAAAGGTGAACTGAGAGCGAAGTTGCTTCATCTTCTCGTGGAACTTTCCTTTTCCACAGGCTAATATATCGTCCACTTCAATAGCCAAAAGGCCCATTAACCTTCCCTCCTCATAGAGCTTGTAGATGCACGGGTCCAGTCGGCTTTCCTTGAAGCCTAATTTGCCCAAAGCCTTGAGCAAAGTTTTTCTCCAGTGAAGGGGTGCATCCACTAAGCCGTAGCATCCGGCCACTATCTTGCATATCTGCTCGGGATGGAGTCCCGAGATACCTTCGGAGGGTTGTCGAAAGTACAATGGACCATTTGCTCTTTCCAGGGGATCACTTTGGCAAAATGCACTTTTCAAATCCCCAATGCTGATCGTCATGCCAGCGTTGATGGCGATTTGGAGCATGACGTTCAAGTTCATGGTGTTCACTGTTGGACTGAATCGATCAAGCTCTAGGATGTCCGGGTCTTTGTCGCCTCTGATACATAGTCTGCTTTTCTTGGAGGGAGGGACTCCCGGCTGTTCTGCTGGCTTATATCTCCTTGCCATTCTGGAGGGCAGAATGCGATCTTCTTTTCCTTCTTTTCTCAGCTCCTCTCGAATTTTCCTTGATTCTTCTGGGCTCAGGACTTCAATGGCTTTGCTTCTTTGAATCTTGTCAAACTCCGACTTGTCTTCCACCTTCCATTCTTCCAAGTCCTTCTCATCTTCTTTTGACAAGTCGACTTCCTGGCTCAAATTGCCTCCTCCTGACGCGTTCGCCACGGCCCAAACTTCTATCTTCTCTTGGTTCTTCTCTTCTTTCTTCGAGTGGAGTTTGAACTCCGTGACTCCTTTCCACCAGAAGCCTTCAACTGCTCTTCCGGCCTTGGCGCTCAGCCTCCACCTTTCTTCTTCCTTCACCACCTCTTCTTCTTCTCCTACCTTCTTTATCGTCGTCTTCCTCTTCTGCAGTCGTTCCAAGGGAACTGGGAAGTCTTGCGTGCCTTCAGGATTGAACATGGCCCTTCTTTTCTGAATGTGGTGTATTCTGATAAGAAGATTCTCTTCGTCCAGCTCCCAAAAATCCTTGGTTGGTCTGGAGGCCACCTTTTTCGCTGCTTCTCTTCTTCTTTCTGCTTCTTCTTCATCGTCCGTCTCTTCTGTCTGGATGTAGACTTCGTGGAAGTATGGGTTCGTTTGACCTTGATGGCTTCTCCACCTGACCGGTCCACCTCCTGAGGGAATTCCATCCAGAGATCTCGCTCGCTGGGCTGATTCTATCATGCTTCTTCGGAAAGCTTCTGACACCTCAGCTTCTCTTTCTGCTCTGGCTCGAGCTTCTTCATTGCTTGTTCTTTCGCTGGAAGTTCGAACTTCTTGATCTCTTGCAGCGTCTTCAACTTCCGGTTCTTCTTCAATAGAACTGGCTTCTCCTTCTCCTCTTCTGCTTCTACTCCTGGCGGCTTCTTCTCCTGGTTCTGTCGGAGTGTAGTCCTCGTTGACTTCTTCTTCTTCTTCTATTCTTTGCCTCCTGATGTCTCCTTGTTCTTCTTCCACTTCTTCTTCTCTTGGCCTTTTCTTTCGATCTTCTTCTTCCTCTTCGCCTTCGTCATCTTCTGGCCTTCTTTCTCCTCGGAGGTCTTTATATCCTTTCCTGTTTGAAGATCTCTTGAAGTCTTCCACCAGTTCTTGACAGCTTCGCATAGCTTCCTCTATGCCTTGCTTCTCAACGTTGGTGGCCTTCCTGCATTGCTCCCTGGCTACTCGCCAAAGCTCTCCAAACATAGAGACCCAGAGGCTCGCGCCATCCACTGCAATGAGTGTCCCTGGACCAACCCAGGTCGCCTTATTTGGGGTCCTCTCACTGCTTGGCAAGGAGCCTTCATGCTTCCGCTTCTTCGCTCGGGGAACCCTGTAGACATAGACGTAGTCCCCAGCTTGACATCCTTGAGGAGCTCTTGACCTTCCTTGCTCTACCCTGTTTAGGGCTTCTTTGGCATTGTGCTCTATGAATGCCTTTTGAGCGATCCTTCTCATCTCTAGCATCCTTTCCATGTCGTCCACCACTGCTCCATTCATCAAGCCTGGGTCAATGACGTCGTCGCTCAACAAGTTGCTTGGAACTCTAGGCCATTGGCCTATCTGACGTTGAACTGGACTGAAGCCACTTCTGTTGCTGAACCTATTCTTTGTCATCTCAACCTCCTGCATCAACAATTGGTGCTCCTGAGGTGGGGAGAGCTTCTTCTCTGGCTTTCTCCAGCAGCTCTTTGTAGTGGGCTCCATGTCGTTCTGTTCTTCCGTTCTGCCACGGAGCTCTCGCGGCAATCGTTTGGGTCACTATGCCATGGGATGCTGCTAGTTGCATGAACTGAGAGGAGAACTCCTTTCCAGCGTCTGAGATGATCACTTCCGGAAGTCCGAAGGTTCGACCCCAAGTTGACCATAGGGTGCTCCAGATGGTTCCAGGCTGCTTGTCTGTCACTCTTTCCACCATTTGATAATTGCTGCCCCAATCGACCATTGACAAAGCTGGGAACAATCTCTCACCTCCAACTTCGGGCAGGAAAATCAAATCAATCCCCAGCACTCTTCCAGGTTGGTAGGTCCTGGGTATGGCAGCAGGCCTTGCGGCCTTGGGCCTACTTCTGGCTTGGCATGCTGGACAAGTGAACTCTTGATAAGCCCACCTAATGATCTCCCCTCTGATCCTTGCCGCTCTCATGAATCGAACAAACTCCGCCTTTTGAGGATGTCCAAGTCCTCGATGAAGCTTCATGACCAAGCTCTTTTCCTCTTCGGTGACTTGATATCTTTGTTCTTTCTCTCCTCGGTTTTCTTTCTTCATCTCCTCCTCCATCTGCTTCTCTAGAGCGTCTTCTAGATCCTCCTCTTCATCTTCACCTTCTTCTTCTACTGCTTCTTTCATGAAGGATTCCTTCATTTGCGGGTTCCCCGCATCCTTGAGGATCTGTTTCTTGATGCCCTTCACGACAGCCTTGCAGAATCCTGGAGGGTATTCTTGGGCTTTCTTTGGGAGCAAGCACAGAGTGGGCGCATGAAAATGCTTCCTGTCGCACCTTCTATTGACCATCCTTCTTACTTCTTCCGAGTTGCTCATCAGCTTGGTGGGCTTTTTATTGAGTCCCAGGCCGTTGACATTCATGCCATACATGCACATGTCGGTGGAAACCACTTCAACTCCTTCCAGCGACTCCACTTCTTCCACTGTGGCTTCCTTCCATGATGAGGCGCTGGCTGGGTGCTCAAACAAGAAATATCTTCCTCGTCGATGTTGCCACTTCGCTAGAGCCATTGCGAGCTCCAGGTGCTCCATGCCTGTTTGGATCATCACCGCGACTTTTCCTTTGTCCATGCGAGGAAAGTTCAAACTCTGTCGCGCAGAGAATGCGGTGCAAGGAGGACAGAGGATCAACAGAATAGGATCTTCTTCTTTCAGAGCCCTCCACATCTTCTTCCTATCGGCTTCATTTGAAAGGTCCCAGCCTGTGATGAGGTCGAAGGAGCTTCCCTGCCTTAGTCCATCTTTTCCAGCCTGGGCTGCTATCCTTGGTGGAGAGAACACTTCACTCACCTTGGACAAGCCTTTCATCACTTCTTTTCGTTGCTTGTGGTTTAACTGGGTTTCCTTTTCGGCGCCAAAGAAATCTTCCAACGCTGTTCTTGTCCTCATCTCGGTTGGCACCCTGATTGCTCTATCTTCATGAAGAGGAACCCATTTGTCTTCCCATTCTCCTTCCCTCACTTCTACTTGAAACACTTGGGGAGCTTCGAAATGAGGGTTCATCCCCGCCTGCATTCTTCTTAGAGCTTGCCTTCCTTTCTTTGTCTTCGCTTCCGCCCAGCCTTCACTCAATCGCTGTCCGGAATGGGGATGCACTCTGCGTTTCCAGCACTCCTCCTGGATGCTGTCCTTGGGCTTTTGCTGCGCCTCCGGCTGTTCGTCATCTCGGAGGGGATCTGAGTGACTCTCTTGTCCTCCCATTGGAAGTACTCGCACTGGCCTGTCTTGCACACCCAGAAATGTCTTTCCTTCTTTGTGCTCCCTTCTTCTGCCAACCACCTCAGTTTGTAAGCAATCAACTGGCAGTGACATAGAGGTTCTTCCCCCAGTGGTCCTTCCGTCTTCATGGGAACCTTGACATACTCCTGGCTGCTTTGACTCTTTTCTTCCAGCATCTTCTCCACAGCCTCCTTTTGATTCATCACCGAGGACATCATCGCCTGCATTTGCACTTCCTTTTCCCTCATCACCAACCGTTGCTGCTCGAGCTCCTTCATCACCTCCATCTTTTGAGATGCAGCTTGTTCCCTTTCTTCTCGAAGCAATTGCTGAAGGTTCTGCACTACGGCTGCTCCTTGAGGGTCGATGTCCTTCTCGGTCACTGCTTCCTCCTTTTTCTTCAAGGTGAGCGCCGTCTTCGTTTGACTCAAGAGGCCCTGCTTCTGTTTCTTGAGGTCTTCTTTGATCTCCGACGCCTGCAGAGGAGACTCCCACCTTGAGTGGCACATCTTGCACGTCACGTAGGAGGCAGTCTTGTTGCCTCCTCCTTTCAATTGGTTCTTGGGATGGATGCAAGAGCTCGCTGACACCGTGGGCTTCTCTTTGGACTTCAAGGGGGCCAAAGGCTTGGCAGTGGTGATGATCTTCGCATAGATGGCCTCCAAGCTGTCGTCTTCCTGCTTGGACTGCAGAGTAAATAGCTCCGAAAGTGCAAGCGACGGCAGCCATTCTTTTACCAATGCCTGGCGCTCCACGAATGCCATGATGATGAACAACTTGTCGAGGACCACTCGCCAATTTTTCAAAGCCATCTTTGGCCTCCTGGCCTGACCTTTCATCACCACGTCCGCTGGAGAGGCGTTCTTCTCCCTGTCGCCCATCAGCCGGCCCGTCCGCTCCAGCAGCTGCGACATGATGCAAAGCGTGCTGAGAGGGTGAAGGTCTCTCCAAGACCGGGGGCACTGATCGAATTGAGCCAGCATAGCTTGAGTCATCGAACTTCTTTGGAAGTCTGCATCGTCAAATGGCGCTTGCTCAGGCACTCGAAATCCACTTGGACTAAAGTTGCAAATATCTATAGTGACATGTCCGCTGGCTAACTCAATCAAAGGCAGTTCAATGGCTTCTTCTGAAAAAGTGAACTTGAAACGCTTGAAGTCGACGACGGCTCCGAGTTGCTTCAACAATTTCACTGGTAAAAGAAGAGGAACTTCTCCAGAAACAACCGTCACTTCTAGTAGGCCATTGCATCCCCCAATGCCCAGTGGCTCGTCTTGGCCTTCCGAGCCTGTGCAAACTGCCTCAACCAAAGGCGTTCTCTTCATGGCCGGTTGAGGATGGAAAAGGAGAATCAGCTTTCGACTCTTCATGCGCTACGAAGAAACCAGTTCTGGTAGAAGCGCTCGAGGTGCTAGTGGGGCCAATGGAAGCGGCAGCTTTCCCTTTCTCACTCGGTGGATTCGTGCATTCTTTGCTGATGTGCCCAAGTGCTCCACACCTCCAACATCTCGTGCGAAGCTTCAGTTGCTCAACATGCACTTTGAACTTTCCTTTGCCTTTTCCCTTTTGCCAGCTCCTGTCGAAGCCCTTGCCCTTGAAGGAGTCCTTGCCATAGAACCCTCTGCCATTTCTCTGATTCTTCAAGGCTTCACGCACTTCCCTATAGCTGGCCAAGGCTTCAACCATTTCCTCCTCCTCATAGGTGGCGTCAAGGTCGCCTTCTGCCACATAGACGAACTCCTCACTATGGCCGTCCTCATCGTCCGCCTGGAGGTACGTGTCGTTCGCAAGAGCGTCCTCGCCGTCAAACAAGTAGTTGCTCTTGCCGGTCTTGTCTTTTACCACCTTATCGAGCTTTCTGAGAGCCTTCACGATGGACACCTTGTCATACTTCCCATCGCACCAGGTGAGAAGCCTTTGCTCTTGAGCTTCACTCAAGGAAGCTTGTCGGTACATGATCGCCGTCAGGCAGATCCACTCCTTCCTTCCCCAGCCGGTTGAATGCCCTTTCCATTCTAGCCACGTACTCAGGGAAGCTCTCGGTCGCCTGACGTGGTTTGCCATAGACTGCTGCCTCAAAAGCTCTAGGCAGGCTCACCTCCAAATGAGGCAAAAAGAACTCCTTCAGCTTGCTCATGATGTTCTTGACCCCGTCTTCTGTGGCGATCTGTTAAAAATGTAGGTCTTCTGTTGCTAGCTGAGCCATGCCCGTCAAGGCTCGAAGCAACTTTGCTCCTTGCTTCCTCTTTGGAATGTCTGACTCATAGCACCACAGCTTGACGTTCTTTTCGAATGTCTTGAACGTCCCCTCGGGGTCCACCCCGTCATACGAAGGGGGGGGATCGCGGTCCCGCGGTCCACCCCTCTCTCTTTCTTCTTCTTGCCCCTGAGCTCCTGCGGCAGCTGCAAAACTTCTCTGGCTTCTCGATGGCCGTCGTGTCGCGCCCTCGTCCTCGGAGGTGGTCATGTCCCTGGAGCGAACCGAGCTCCGCTACCACTGACTGTGGTAACGGCAGTCAGTGGCAGCTCTCGGCAACTTTTCCATACGCCATGGAACGAGTAGGTGCGTGCGCACGTTCGGGCCCCTTAGGGTAGTTGGACCGAGAATGCGGTCGGTGAGCTGGAGTCAAGGTGTGCTCATGCTAGACATGCCGTTCTTACAAATACAAATCAATACAAAGTACCCAAGTGCAGCGGATTGATGAGAAAGGGCCTAGCTTCAGATGAACTGCAGTGCAACATCGTCAATCTGCAGTGCACTGAACTCTTTCTAGCTTGCCTGTTACCAAAAATTGGCGTGGGGTGTAATCAGTACATTTTCAAAAACGTATAAGACTGGCAAATAGACTTGCACGATGTTTTAGAGCCACTTTTCTTCCAGGGAGGGCCGGTCGGTGACGCATGCTTCGTCTTAGCTTCTTGATCAAACTCCCTTCCCCAACCAATTTTTTTTGATGACATGGGCTTGATTTGTTGCCCTTGTGTTGGGGCACTGAACACAAACACAAAGTCGAAGAACACACATGCAAGACTTCCCAAACAATGCTCCGAATTGACGCGGTTCCTGCCCTACTCGGATCCCATCAATCAATGCTAGGAAGGCCCAAGATGTGCTGGCGATCACGTTCTCCTGGGAGCACTCTCAAAGCAAGAAGTTAACTGAGCGTACAAGGGACCCAGAAAGTGCAGCAAGTCTCAGACTCTCCGGATGACCGAATGCCCATCCAAGCAGGCGTTTAGATCTTCACAAAACTGCCCAGGAACCATGGTTTGGCATTCACAAGAAGCTACTAGTAGCAAATGTCATCGCTACTAGGAGCAAGGACGCTACTAGTAGCTCCTGGCATCTGGCATCGGTACTAGTAACAAGAAGCTACTAGTTACTAGTAGACATTGGAGAGTTTGGTCTGGATCTCCTCGAAGAGGCTCAAGTCGATGCCCAAGGTGAACTCTGTGTGCTGATCAAAGTGTTGCACCCTCATGGAAGCGTGTTCACGCATCACATCCCGCGGGTAGTTCACAAGTCAAATAAAGGCAACAAACAAGTCAGGCAGTGCTTAGAAGCGTCACTGATCGTCCTGTCTTGCCACAAGAAGTGCACTGATCTTGGTGCACTGTCCAGTGGAACAGGATGCAAGCCGGTAAGTAACGCAAAAAAGCGTATCCGTATCCTCAAATTGGTTGAGCCAAGGGACATTTGGCCCACTGCCATATCAAACACGTTCACGGCCGTGTCGTAGGAACAGGATACCTTGGTTGTGGTTCTTCTGTTGAGCTAAAACCGAGCTCCCTATGCAAAAATCCAAACCATGATGTGTTAGAACCTTCAGGACAACTTCGACAGTACTTCCTTTTAAGCAGTTTTCTTTGTTACCGCTGCCAGACTATGAGATCTGACGTTGACTTTTTTCCAAACATGCTTGGCAAAATGAACATGGCATACATCAAGAACTGCAGGTGCAAGCATTTTAGTTGCTGCAGTCAAGATCGGAACAGAACAAACTTGGGCTGCTAGGTCGACCCAGCAATCTGCGTCTCGTTGAAGGGATGGCACTTGACCTTCGAAACAGTCTGATCAAAACTCTCTCATGACCATCCAAGAGATAGAAATATATTTTTGACATACGCGCGTTTTACAGCATCATCAGCTTGAATCTCCAGTATCTTCCGTTCGGTCGGTTCTGTGCTTCCGGGCCCTCTTCACAGCAAGCTGGTGCCCGTGTAGAATCTGCAGGGTATGCTGTGGCTGCCAGGTTGATGGTAAGAGGCTAGTAAGAGGCAGCTCATTGCCAATGTGGACGGACGCTAGAGTCTAGAGGCAAACCCCAATTGCCGAGGCAAAAAATCCAATGTTCACCATCGATCTATTGCACAGCAACTTACTCTTACACAAGATTCGCAGACCTGGTAGGCGGCTGCTACGGACTATCCGCACCGAAAAGGGAGAGTTGAACTTGAGAGAGGAGGGGGGTGAACGAAAGGTAGCAGGGAATCAGGCGTAATCCGGGAGGAGGCGAGAGGCCCCCCACTTGTTTGAAGAGAAGTGACTGAGCGTGATGAAAGAAAAACTAATGCACAAACTAATCACAATCACGTCACATATTTCATCATATTTCTCAAATGCAACTTCGGATTTACATAGTGACGTGCTGCGACCCTGTAAATTGCGTGGCCGCAGGCCATGCTTGCAAACAGGACGAGCTCAAAAACACTGGTATTTACGAGGTTTTGTTGCCGTCGATCCACAGCCGCGGCAAGGTCTAAGGCCACGCTTGAAGACAGGAGGAGCTGAAAACACTGGTATTTACGGTGTTTTGTAGCCGTCGATCCAGAGGCGCACCACGGTTGTGTGCTGGAAAAGCGCAGAAAACCGTGTAAATACCGGCGTTTTCTGCCGGGAAGGTGCACAAAACCCTGTAAATACCATAGTTTAGTGCAATTTTGAAGCCTCCAAAAGCCTCAAAATCCCTTTCCGACAAAATCTTTCCTGGTTTTTGGTCTTTTTTCGGTCATTTTCCTAACCGAGACGCATCAAAAACCATCGGTTTTTGCGGTGTTTTTTGCCGGACAGCCACAAAAAACGCTGTAAATTCCATGATTTTTTGTCACTGTTGAGGACTGGAAGAGCTGAAAACACTGATATTTACAGTGTTTTCGAACCGTTGACCCCGAGGCGCGCCAGGGTGGAGTTGAAAGGGGGGGGGCCTCCCCCCCCCCCCGGCCATCAAACGAAGATGTGGGGGACCATTTCTCTGAGAGATAGGCTCCAGCTCTGAGTATAATACATTTTTGCTAAAGCAAAAGGAAAACTCAGGTAGCGTAACCGCTACCTTTCGTGATCAAACTAGTCTGACAACCCTTGGCCAAACTCTGGCACAACGTTTGAAAATACGTCTCTATAACTGGGGCAAAATGCTTCCAGTATCAAACAATCTAACTTCTCCGGAAACATTGAGCCGGTCGGGCTCTTCATCATAGACCCAAAGGAACAAGACCGACTCATGGGTTCTGAGGACTTTCAAACATTGCATGGGATGGAAACCAAGCTTGACGCACTCTACGCCCCCACAAGCTCTTTGAGGGGATGCATCATCTTCGAAGGCTTGCAAATGATATGTCCCCCAAACCCTCTTTGAAGGGACATAGCAGCACGGTCTGGCCCAAACCTCTCTCCTAGTCTCTGCCTCTGTCTCTGTCTGTCTCTCTCTCTCTCTCTCTCTTTCTTCTTACCTTCATTGTGGTTGAACAATGCCCGCTATCACTGCTCTTTCTTCCCTTTTCTTCTGCTTCATAATGCACGCTTTTGCTTTGAAAGCGCCCATTTAATCAGTGGCCAGAGGTGGACACTTTGAGCAACGGTTTCACCTACTTACTCAGGCAGCAGGTTGCACCGGTGCACTTCCCTAGTCGACGCACCTGCAAGGGCTGCCCGAAGTTCCGGAGGTCAAAGGTGCGGATCGTCTTGTCCACACCTTGGCACCCACCAAACATGTCTGAAATCAAAAGGAATATATCAAATATAATATATCAATATATAATATTACAGTATATAATATCCAATATTGTTAGCATCATGCAAAGGAGTGCAACAACAAGATTGGGCAAAACCAGCGTGGCTAACTGCTAACTGTGCTGTACCTGAGTAATCATAGATTTGATTGCCTAAACTCTAAACTGTGGATAAATCATTTCAGATCTGCATGCTGCAGATTGAACTGCATTTAACTTGTCATGTTCCCATGACCCGCTTGAACAGATTTACAAATGTGGATTCCCTCTATCAACAAATGCCATGAACTCAAAGACTCCAAATCGCTACCAAAGTTGAATGTGCACGTTGAAACATCATTTGGAATGAGTGCAATTTGTTTGT